AGGGTCAAACTACCTCTAAGAAGACTGATAGTGGAGATTTTTCACATATCACATATCACGTATCACATAGCCTTGCTTCCAAATCGGTATTGTCATCCAGGCTCATTTGGACTGCAGTTTCAACCTCGACTGAGCTGGTCTCATCAGCACACCTAGCAAGACTCGATCCATGACTACCACGAGACCACATAGGAGATCTGAATTTCAAGGAAGGCCAAATCTCCTTCCATATCACATTCTGTGGTGGGAGTGTGGATTGGGAAGACTTATATTTAACATAGCAATTTATGAGATTTCTTTTTTCGAGATAACCAATAAATTAGATATATGAGCTGTGTTTACTCTATTTTGTTTTAGGGTGATAGACACCTAATGGGAATAAAAACAAAATATATGTAGTGTCATTGATTGCTATAGCAAAATTTGCTTCATTCACAATCCCAACACAGAATATGATATGGGAAAATGCCTGGTCTTCCTTGGAATTCACATATGCCTTATGACCCAAGGACACTCATGGTAGTATGGCGTAGTGGTTAACATGTCGAGATTATACGCTGGATTGTCACGATTCGAGTCACCCTTGGGGTGCTTATTAGACGAATCTGAGGCGTGGTCCAAATTGTATCTTTAGAGACAGCAAGATTATGCTAAATGCGATGAAAGTGTAAGGTATACTTATAAATTGTGGAGAAATTCAATTTTTCCATCTATCATCTGAAACAAAAAAAAGTTAAATATATCTGATATATATTATCTACTGGTAGTCTCGCAAGCCTGGTTATGGACTAAAAAATAAAGTCTCTTAATGAGGAATGCGTTAAAACAAACCTCTGATTTCGTAATCTTGACGGCTTGAATAAGTTGTAGGAATGCTACCATATGCTTGTACTGTCTGTCAATTGGCGTGACAGAAGGAAGCTGAGCACATTTTCACCAAAATCGAGAGAGACTGCCTCAAAGACAGCTTCAACCAGAATGATGTTCGTCAAAGCTAGGACTCATTCTTGCAAACATCTTATGTTCATACTGTTCTACGTGATGTATATATACTCACAACAACAAAAATTAAATATAGATAGACATATAATGGTTTGGTTAGTTCTCTTATACTCGAATGTGTGTGAATGTGAGTACGTGTGTACATGGGTGTAAGTGTGTCTCATGGACTGCGTTAACCTGAATGTCATATTAACGCCACACGGCTGCAGTAAAATGGGGGTTAGACCTTGTCTTCCGGCGATATCGACCTTCGAATCTCTTCATCATGCACTTTCATACGAAATAAAAGTTTCCACAACAATATCATCTTAGGAGATTAATCGAAATCCAGTTATTCTTCACCTCCAAAATTAAATAATGTAGAGTAAACTAACAGCAACAGGTACATATGGCTATTTTGTAAAAATAAATACTGTAATAGAGATGCATATGTCCCTTTTTCATGTTTATGGCAGCCGATTCGTGTAGTTCACTACAAAGAAAGTTGAAGAGGCTCGTCAGCTCGAGCCATCATCAGTAGGCAGTTTGCTTCTGGGCTGTACCAGGGCACAAAGGTCAAGGATAATTTAAATCTAATTTCATGCCGCCAACAAGCCCAGCGGCGACTCTTCTTGAAGCATTTTTAGGCCTCAGCAAATGAACAAATACGCTTAAAACAATAAGCAATAATTTCTTGGTCTTGGCTTAAAGTAATGAATTTTTAACCGATTAGTTGCTGTAACCCCTTCGTAGATATGGAGAAATTAGGCTTTATGGAATTCCTTAAAAAATCATTTTCTTGTACTTTCATTTAATTTGAAAAGGTGGATGAAAGTGATATTTAATTCGGCTTTTCTGGAAATCTATTAGAGATTGCTTAGAATTGTTGTTTGTGGAGCTGTATTCAGTCCATTTAGTTTAAGGTAAAGAATTTTTATTGTGGGCTCGTGCTAAGAAGTCCTGGATGCACCCTTCGGTTACCATGATCTATGCATTTAAACCTTTCGTCTTTCCATCCGTGACAGACATCGTCAGGGCGCAAGAACGGTTTTTAGCAAACTTTATCAAGCACAAAGACAAAAATTGTGATCGGCTAATAGCCTACATTTTTCTTACTGCTCAACTTATCTCACACATTCAGACATCTCAGGAAATGGTTGGCGATATCAGACCGATGCAAATACTTGAATCCCCTCTACCCAGGCTTCTTATACGAAATGAAAGGTATAACAGCATAAAAAGATCTTAACTATTGTACCTCAAGCCTTGTTTCAGCTAACTTGTAAAACACAATGAATCATATTCTTTGGAAAGTTCCTCCATTTTCGTTATAATCAAAGCTCACCTTGAGAATTTTTCTTCTTTCCTCACGGGCCCAAACCATAAAGGCGTTCATTGGCCTCTTTATATGCTGACCTCGGTCCAGCTTATCATTTCGAAATCCGGGCTCTGCATCAGTATCTAAGCCGTAGTTGCGTATACCCTGGCGGGCGATACGAGGCAGCCGGCTGCCAGAGATGCCCTCAGTCTGATGAGTACCCACCGTTATGATGTGGCGGACGCAGCGAAGAGCGTAATGGGAATGTGGAAGAAAAGATAAATGGTATATAAAACTAGGGCAAAATAAAGAAACATCTACGTAAGATAGAGTAAAAGGGATAGGAGAAGATCTCATTAAAGTTAAATGAATAAGGAAAAATTGCACTTGTAAAAATAGTATGTATAATAAAAGATGAATAATAGAGGAGAGCATGCGAAATCAGTATTAAAGGTTTTAGATGGAAATCATGGCAATCACCATAATAGAAAAATGTTAGAAGAGTAAGTGTAAAAAGAAAAAAAACTTTTGAAAAAGCGGAATAAGATATAATATGAAATGATATGAAATGATATGAATTATAATAAAAATATATGAAATGTTATGAAATGAAATAAAATCATATGAAATCATATAAAAATATATTAAATTATATTAAATGATAATTAATGATATTTAATGATATTTAATGATATTTAAATGATATTAAATAATATTAAATAATATTAAATAATATTAATTAATAGTAAATAATATTAAATATTATTAAATGATATTAAGTGATATGTTATGATAGAAAATAATATGAAATGATAGAAATGTTAAGAAATGATAAGAAATGATATGAAATGATATGCAATGATATGAAATGATATGAAATTATAAGAAATTATATGAAATTATATGAAATGATAAGAAATGATATGCAATGATATCAAATGATATCAAATCATATGAAATCATATGAAATGATATCAAATGATATGTAATTATATGAAATGATATGATTTAAAATTATATG